ATGTGAATACATCGAGAAGGTACGCAGTGAGTTCATCGCATGAGATTTTTATCGAATTACTTGTTATGCCTGGAAGAACTGCTAATCCGTAGTTTGTTTTTTTTTTATCTGTGCAGCTGGCAACTTTTCCATTGCTATAACCAATTCTTCAGCACCAAATAATCACTCTGGTTGCCATCCCGGGGTTCGTTTTAGCCCCTGAAAAGCTAGATTTTTTTAGGAGCTAATTATTTGCGGGTTATTTTCGTCTTATACGCATTTTCACTTTCATTAATTTTTTAACTTTTTTTTTTTCAATTTCTTGTTTTTTCCGGCATTTTTTTGGCATTTTGGATTGCAAACATACCAGAAAATAGAGATTGACTGAAATTTTATTTGTTCATAAACTCTGAATGTGAGGCTGAACTTGGATTTTTCAGATGGAAGTTGCCGGTGCTTTCTACGTCAATGTATTTTTGAAGAAGAATTATATTGCTTCTTGCATTGCAAATATTGCTTTAAAGGTTTTTTTTTTAATATCGAAATCTCAGATTTACATAAAATGCTGAAGGGAGCCTTTTTTCAAACACCAACATGAAGTAGTACCGTTTTTGAGCTAAAAAATTTTAGATTGATGTTTTCCAGGGTATCCAAATACCGAAAATTGAAAAACGCCGTGTTATTGTTGACTTCTCATCACCAAATATTGCCAAAGAAATGCATGTTGGTCATTTACGATCGACGATTATTGGCGATAGCATATGCCGCTTGCTGGAATATGTGGGATTTGATGTAAGTTGAATACAGATCACACGAGATTTTTTTTTTAGGGGGGAGAAGGGTAACTGAAGAAATAAGATAGCAGTAGTAATCAAGGACCAAAGTTCAAATGGTTTTTTTTCTCCTAGGAGGCATTTTTTTAGTTTTTTAGCCTAAAAGTCGAAATTTTTTAGTAATACTTTTTGGAACAAAATGCATTTCTCTGCTGTGTGCTTCCTGAACAGTCTCTGTATTTTTGGTTAATTTTGATGATTGTCTGTATTTTTTTGCTTAATTCTAAGGCATCTGAAATTGAATAAATATTCATATTGCTGTGAGGTTTTTTTTAGGTTCTTCGGCTGAACCATATTGGCGATTGGGGCACACAATTTGGCATGCTTATTGCACATTTGCAGGATTGTTTCCCGAATTTCCTAAATGAAGCGCCTCCAATTTCAGACTTACAGGCCTTTTATAAGGTACACAGATTTTATTTTTTATCAGCGGCTCTTTTGTTGTGACGTAATTCGCTATTTTTAATGATGCGCTCCATCCAAAGTATTGCTAAGTAGCGATTTGCATGATTTTGTGAGCTTAGTTTTTGTAAGTGTTATTTTCTGACAGTATTACAGGAATCGAAAAAGCGTTTTGACAGCGACGAAGCGTTTAAAGCACGTGCCTATGACTGTGTTGTAAAGCTGCAGAATTATGATCCGGATTTTGTGAAAGCTTGGCAACTGATTTGCGATGTCTCTCGGAAGGATTTTAGCCGAATTTACGATCGGCTGGAAATAGAAATTATTGAACGAGGCGAATCGTTTTATCAAAAACTTATGATCGAACTAGTCCAGGAGCTCGATGAACAGGGTAAACCCCTCCTTTTTCTTTTTCTGATGCTTCAAAGGATTTTGCAGTCAGCCTTGTTGACAAAGTTCTTTTGTAAAAATCTAGGGGCCGGAAGGGATTCGAACCACCCATTTAAATGTGACGTGTTAAACCACTGCACCACTGGACCACGCGCTTCACACTTGCTGGAGCACCTATATTCTGTGTGTATGCCGATCGCTTGCACAGGATTCTGTGGCGTCTAACGCTGCTCCTACAAATAGTGTACACTTGAGAATCCCTGTTGGCTTTTGCAGGACTTCAACAGCAGTCATTATGACTATTCGTGCTGCATTTCAAGTAACACGAAATTTTTACGCCGATTGTTAGGGTAGTCTTCGTGTCTTTGTTATAATCTTTTTTTGAAGTGGGGGGAGGGGCGGGGGGGGGCGTGATTCCCTCGAAATTTGTTGGCAAAAAATGGGAAAGCAGTGTGTGTTATATTTGTTGCGTTGTTTTAGCAAACATCAACGCACTGAGAGAAAAAAAGTGCTTATAATTGCTTTGGAAGGTTAAAGATGTAGCCTTTTTTTTATAGGAGAATTAGAGTTTGATGAAGGAAGAAAGATTTTACGAGTTGGCGACGAGGTCCCATTGACTGTTGTCAAATCGGATGGCGGTTTTACCTATGACACGTCTGATTTAGCAGCATTAAAGCAACGATTACACGTTGAAAAAGCTGACTGGGTTATCTATGTTGTTGATGCTGGCCAAAGTTTACATTTTGATGTTAGTTTCCTACTTTTATGTATATATTCCTAAAGTAATCTATTCTTACTTTTTTTAAGACAATTTTAAGCAGTTAATGTGAAGTATTGTGTTATGTTGCCATTTTTTTTTTTATATTATTAATGATTGGGCTTCCTATTCTCCAGTCATGGCTTTTTTGGCTTTGCTCGGACCGACCGAAAAGCGTCCTGGAATATCAAAACTAAGGGGAAGGCT